CTTCTCTTATCACTGGCAAAGCAACAGTTTCATGGTTCTATTTGCCCCCAGCACGATCAACGGTAACGCTTTCTTCCCTTCTAGTGTCCCGATTAATCCCCCCTATTCGGCACCATTTCGACCAACAGTGTGTTCCGCTTGAGGATACAGCGGACACCTTTCTGCTCTCGGAGAATTTGCCTTGCGTATTTCCTTCCTTTGAGTGTTCAACGCATTCCCCGCTGGTGTTGCATTGTCATTAATATTTCCCATTCTGCCAATGCTAATCTTTGTTTGATCTGACGAAGGGGGCGTGTTCGGCACCCCTACTTCTGGAAAATCCCTAGTGATTGGTTGCTGAAGCTGTGCACGTACATCTTGCGACGCACTGCGACCAAGAATTTCTTGCGGGGGCCTACTCCCCAATACATTCTTGCTCCCACGGACTCCATCCGTGCAGTTCAATTTATCAGCACCCGAAACCACTTGCAGTTTGGGATAATTAGTTCCACCCTGCTTGGAATACATCTTAGATGCTGGAAAACGTCGCTTACCGTGGTTGGACGAGACGCTCCCCGTCGCCAGGCCATCACCCTCGGTGTTGTGCACCACCGATCGGCCCCCCTCCTCCTCAACAATCCCACTCTCCGAGTCGTCTTCGATGTTCTCGCGTGATGATTGCTTTCTCTTTACCTCAGCCTCGCCGAGAGTCTGTTTTGATCCCTGTCCTTGGCTCTGCTTTCTTCCCTTCCGCCCGCGATATTTCTTTTCATCACAATACCCTGGACCTGCTTCACCCTGCACCATCACTCTTCGAGATTTCTTTTTAATCTCGCAATACTTTTCACCCCTCTCACACTTCACGTTCACCTCTCGAGATTTGTTTTTAATCTCGCAATACCGTGCACCCCTTTCACCATTCACCTTCCTCTCTCGAGATTTGTTTTTAATCTCGCAATACCGTGCACCCCTTTCACCCTTCTGCCCGCGATTTTTCTTTTCGTCATCACAATACCCGGGACCTCCTTCACCCTGCATCACCACTCCTCGAGATTTGTTTTTAATCTCGCAATACCGTGCACCCCTTTCACCGTTCTGCCCGCGATATTTATTTTCGTCATCACAATACCCGGGACCTCCTTCACCCTGCACCATCTTTCTGCCCGCGATATTTATTTTCGTCATCACAATACCCGGGACCTCCTTCACCCTGCACCACCAATCCTCGAGATTTGTTTTTAATCTCGCAATACTTTTCACCCCTTTCACCTCACCTCCACCCCGCAAGATTTCTCTTGTATCTCGCTGGTTCCTTCCTTCCACCTCCCCCCATATTGGACACCAGACTATGGAGAGCCTCCACATTACCCCCAGAATGCGAATGTAACAAGTCAAGGATCGCAATCGATGTGTCTCTCACCTTCCCCCCATCCGGTGACTGCCCACCAAAAGACTCTCCATCCCCTCCACCACCCTCGTCCGAGGCATTGCCTCCTCCACCATCGTCCTCCACCTGGGCACCAGCCCCCCTCTTGCGATTGTCTTCATCCTTCACGGGCCCTTGGTCTCCCCCATTACCTGACGTACGAGAAATAAAATGACCCGCGTCAGGTGTCTGTGACCTTCTGTTTCTGCGCATTTCGCTTGTTCGACGAGAGTAGTAGTCCTCCCTACCTCTCTTACTTCGTGGCGCTAACACCTGAAACCCTGGCATTGCCATTGCCTCCATTGCCATCCTCTGATCTGCGCTGAAGCGCCTTGCCCCTGCTCCCGAGCCTCTCGTCAGACTCCTTCCCCAACTCACAGACACATGACTCTCCCACATCGTTCTGCCCCGATCTCCCTTGATCTGTGTCAGTCCTTTTGCTAGACTTGAAGACACTCCTTATTCCAAGTCACCCACCGCCCTTCCACCCTTGTGCGACACACTCCCCCCCCCAGCGTGCGCAACACCCTCATAACCCCACTTGCCCCCAGGCCTTCCATCCTTTCCACCAGAGACCTCAGCCTCTGTCCGTCGTGCATCCTCGGATGTCAGCTGTACACTCTTAGATAGCACTTTCCTTGTCTGACGTGAGTCTCTAACTTCAATGTCTCCACCCGACCTCGTTTTCCCTTCCTCCCGAGGTCTCTCTGTCAACACTTCCCCTTTCACTGACAGAGCTTTAGCCGCCGACACATCCCCTCCCGTCGACAATTCATCCATCCCACCGCCCTTAGAACCACCGCCACCCCTGTGGTCCGAGTGTCCAACCCTCCCTTCATCGTTGTTCACATCACCCCCCTCACCTCTCTGTGCCATAGGAAGAACACACCGCAAGCGGTGCGCTATCCGCTTCGCCCCTCCTTCGGTGCCAGTGACGTGTAATCGGCCGGCGGTGGCCTATCGCACGTAGATATGTGTGCAGATGTGCCAGTGGGGTCGTGGGTTTGCGCGTCTCGATGTTGCTTGCGATCAAAGTGTGTTTCTTAGGCCTTCGTGCGCCGGGAACAGCAGGGAAACCCAACACTGAAAAAGGGGGGCACGCGACATCAGCTGACGCGAGCTAATTGCGCCGCTTCACTTTCTCTCCAACTCTCTCACTTTCTCTCCAATCACTGCAATTCCCTCATAAGCTCATCATTTGAACCATAAACCCATACACCCTCAATTCTAGTCTCCAGCTCATACACTTTTCATGGCCTTATTTGACGATATCTCAACCAGAACTAACTCCAACCCTGCTCCCAAAGCCATCATTTCCAAGTCCATTCCATCACGCCTCAAAAAATATCCTGCGATTACCCTACCCCAAGTCTTCTTACCCTGACCTAACCTAGGGTTGACTTATTGCACGACAAATCAATTTTATGCATGAGCAGAGTTACTGTTAACGCCATGGGGGACGAACCAAAATAAACGAACGGACGTATCGATTGCCTGGCACGCATATCGATCGATACCTTCCGTCTGCATTGAGCCATGCGATATAAATTGATACCAACACATGGCTTGAACTAATATATGTTGATCGAATTTCTCCCAATATATTGAACCAAACGATATCAATTGATACCAATTGTATACATATATATTGGTAGTAATATGTAGTGGAAGATATTCTTCCGTTGTATTGAACCCATCAATACATATCGATTCCAGTTTTTAGTATGTATTGATTGGAGCAATGTGCATTTAATATCATGTTGTCCAGGGTGTGATTAGATGGCTATTTTGTTAGATGAGTGCAGTATTTTTTGCTTTATTTTTGTCGCGTGCCCAGTGTCCAAACTTCCCGAATCAGAATAGAACATGAACCACGGCGGCGGACAGACCCATGCCGGGGGGAGAGGAGGTACTCATCCCTGTGGTGATTTACATCCTGTACAACTACGGATGACTACCACTATTATCATTCGCTTCAGGAAAGGTAAGGGCTCCACTAACGGGTAGTTGATTATCAACTACGGCAATCTTGTCACCCAAAGAGCCGGTAATAATCAACTCCGTTGAGGAAATTCTGAGCCAAAAGCCCAATGATGCCCATAATTATTGTTGATCGGAATCAAGTACCCTCAAAAGAGAAAAAAAAGGGTATGACAGAGGCGGAGAGGTGGCACCCCCCGTAGACCGGCTTTCAAAGCTCCATTGCTCCTCAACCAAGGGGGTGCGGAAAAGACTCGATAGTTCTACGGAAAGCCCTCGACGAAATGTTTCCAAAACAAACATGTTTGGAATTGGGCATAATCTTGTTTGTAAACCAATCGACGTATGTATGAATCTGGTCTACATGTAGGGGGAGGGGTCCCATCTCTCCGTCTCTTGCGGTAGTAAATCGAAATCCTGAGCCAGTTGTTGATCGGCCAAACAGTTTACAAGTACAACTAGTAAAGAAGCTGACAAGGTGTGCAATGATCTTGCTTGCCGTAGTCGTGTGTTGCCGTTCACGGTGCATGTCTCTAAGGGACGGAGCACTGCTGTTCCCACTCCTAGTGAAAACAACATCAGGCTCTAACGTGCTTGGAGCCTGCCCTCCTCTGCGAGGGACCGCCTCAATGTATGGGCTTCCAGTGCTGAACGCTCAAGCATTGCTGTTGGCGCATGCCTTGCACCTATAACTGTTTCGTACCCCGGCACGTTGTTGTAACCGCTCCCCAGGGCTTTGGGGAGGCACACACGGCCAATCCCAAAGTGGTGTCGGACATGACGTCCCTACACCATATTCACGAGGCCGGTATCCTGTACAACCTGAGGGAGAGGTCCAAGCTCGAGAGTCAGCGACCATACACCTTCATGGTGAGCTTTATCCGGCCCACTTTAGGAGTCGACCTAAAGGCAATGGTCGTGTGTGATATGTAAATTCATATTTGGTCACTAGGCTACATTTGAGGCCGGAGACAAGCGGCGGGGTAACGCTGTCTTCATGAACGCCCATGAGGGCGCCCGTTGCATCTGGCGCATTTTGTGCGATCTCTCCGCGCGGGCAAAAGTGATCAGCCGTGCCCGCAGTCTCTACAGCCGTGGCCCACAGAAAATGACAACGTTCCCTGAAACAAGCACTACGCCGGAGCGCGCCTGTGGGCGAGCCTCACTTCCGAGGCATAGATGGCTGGCCAAGCCAACCCTCCTTGATATATCACCCCGAGGGTCAAACTGATGAACGCGCCTATGTGACCCACGATGAATCAGAAGGCCGTTGTCTTGTACCTTCAACGGCATGCGTCGTCGGCCGTTCTGTCGCCACCCCGCCACCGCCGCTTCTGTCAGGGTACCATTCTTATCGCCGTGAACCCGCTGCGAAGAATCCCCGACCCGGACGTGAGCGAGTACATGAACCGCTCCCTCGATCCAGAGGCCCCACATCCCTACGCCATCGCTGAGGTAACCTTTCGATCCGTGCCGTGGTCGCTAGTGATCTCGGCTTTCCCTGGTGCTGTACATGCGTCCCCCTGCAAGACATGTATGTCCCACAACACGGCGGATAACCAGCCTCTTGTTGCTCTGCTCTGCTCTTGCTCCTTTTGTCCCTCAGCTGGCATACCACCAGATGCGGCTAGGAACGGGGCGGAAAGCGGCCAATCAGTCCATCGTAGTCTCGGGTGAGAGCGGCGCGGGAAAGACCGAGACCAGCAAGATCATCCTCACGTGAGCGAAAGAGATCTTTTCATGACGGCACGCGGGTGCTGCCGGTAACTAAGTGCTGTGCAGCTGCTTCACGAACGTGTGGTATGTACGCGAACCGATAGCCCAGTGCATGGCCGGGCTCACAACCTCAAACCTCTGGTAGAATCCCTCTCCTGTCGTTCCTACTCTCTTCTCGTGGTGTACTTATGACCTACCGCAAGCCTTCGGCCTACCTCGAACGAACCGTTCCGCCTGGGGGCTGCAAAATATCGCATCAAAGAAAACTTGCGTCAGTCGCCAAGCGCGCCGCGACCGGTGTGGTCAGAAGAGTTAACGGTTATCGCCGGCGATCATCAACCCCTTCTCGCGCTTGTTTCATTGGGAATCCTTCACGGTGTGATATCTGTCACGGCGGCGGACGACCGCTTTCCTTCGTACGCCCTTCTGGCTTGCCAGCTTCCTCACACATCGGTCCGCGGGGGGAGTGGCAAGCCTGGATCAGAAGGTGATGGACTCCTCTCCGATCCTGGAGTCGTTCGGCAACGCCAAGACTCTGCGGAACAACAACTCGTCGCGGTTCGGGAAGTTCCTGAAGCTGCAGTTCACCAAGGACAAGCACCTACTAGCGGGCGCGTTCATCGAGACCTATCTCCTGGAGAAGAGCCGCGTGCTCACGCCAGGGATGGTGAGCTAGCGGGCGCGTTCATCGAGACCTATCTCCTGGAGAAGAGCCGCGTGCTCACGCCAGGGATGGTGAGCTGGTGTGTGTGGTTGAGATACATACCAAGAAGAGAAAATACCACGTGTTTTGGAGGTTGCTTGGAGGTGAATCCCGAGAGTCTCCACGTGCTGTGTTTTGCGCTCCCAATCTTGGCCGACCCTCGGATATTGCCTCGTTTTTTTCCGCGTGGTGGCAGGGCGAAAGGAACTTCCACGTCCTCTACCAGCTCGTGGCCGGCGCTTCGGGCTTGGCCTTAAATCTGAAGGTGATTCGGTCGATATTCTGCGCGCGTTGCGGTGGGTGTTTTGTATCTTGCAGCACCCAGACGCTTTCCCTGCCAACACATCGTATGCATGGTTGCGGCCGAAACACTTTTGACCTACATGTATAGTGTTTCTGTTTTCATACTTTTGTGGCGTAACGTGTCGCACGAGTGACGGTCGACCGGCATTCCGCCGCACCATGACGAGTTTTGTCGGGACGGGACGGTCATGGACACGGCCCGCGAGTGGGATTGTCGTTTTCTCGCGCACGTAGTGTACGCACCTGGGCACAGTATTTTATCCAAAAGTGAGGACTTGCGACTGACAAGTGAGGGCGTATCGTGCTTGTTCGATGTTCCGCGCAGCTGGAGGGCGTGGGCTCGTACAAGATTCTCTCCCGTGGCGATTGCACTGCATTGGATGGCGTGGACGACGCCAACGAGTTCAGAGGGGTCAGGGCCGCATTTGACACGATCGGAATGAGCGAGGAGTCGCAGCTGCAGGTCTGGCAAATGCTGGCAGCGATGCTGCACCTGTCGAACTTGGAGTTCAACAAAGTTGACCACCAGCAGGGCGAGATCGCCGATATCTCTGACAGCGAGGTATGGCAGATGCATGTCCTCACTTCACCCCCTCGTCTTGATCAAGTGTACACTGAAAGTATATTGTTCGGAATGAAAGGCTATTGCTTGTTTCCCGCTGCCGGAGGGCTTGCATGATAGGATATGGGCCCTCAGTTGTTTGGTTCCGCCGTTTTCCCCTTTCTTTTCTTTGTGGAGAGAAGGTGTTGCAGAGATTTGTTTGATGTCGTATGAACAGCCTGTTCTTAATACCGCTGCTGCTGCTGCTGCTTCCGTTGTTGTCGCTTTGATCCTGCCTGCCCCCGACCCAGCATGTCACATGTATCTCGTGCTGCTCCTTAAGAGCCTGAACACACTTCCGTGGAAACAGCCTAGTACCTGATGATAACAGCGAAGATATTGAGACGAAGGGAACATGCGTTGTTTTCTTGTGATAGAAACAAACATGTCGGAAGAGCTGAACAGTTCCCGGCAACGTCACAAGAGGTAGAACAACCAGAAAACCACGAGAAAATCCCCAAACCTGTGGAGACCAGAAGAGAAGGAAACCAAACCAAAACAGAGTTGAGTGAGCCGGAGGGAGGTGCAACTTCGATATGCCCATGCACGGAGCTTTCGCAAGGCGATGACTAATTTGTGGCAACACTATCCGCCCGCGCGCGCGTGTGTGTGTGGATGACGGTTCGTTTTTGGGGGGTGGAACAGACCCTGTCGACACTGGCAAGGCTGCTTGGGGTGGGAGAAGGGGCGCTCGGGAAGATGCTAACGCAGCGGGTGATAGTCACGCGGGGGGAGACCTTCATCATTCAGCTCGGCCTGGACGACGCGAACCTCGTCCGCGATGCCATCGTGAAATCGCTCTACGAGGTACAGGAGAAAGGGGACCATCAGATAGGCTTTGGGCTGAGGAAAGGCGTGTGTGTGCCGATAAATTACCGGACATATATCGACATGGTAGTAGCGCTTTATTAAGTGGTTGGTGCGCCCTTGAGATGTTGCTGTTTTTTGTGTGCCGGGGATATCTGCTGTAGGCAGCGCTGGTTTCGATGTGCCGCTGAGCTGATTTTGGAGTCCCGTGGTCTTGTCCAAGGTGTCCGTTTTGATAGCTGTCTTCTGAGAGGTTCGCCCACCCATGGTGACGAGATTTTTTAATACATGTTGCTGGGCCGCACGTGATGCTCAACGGGTGTGCCTTCGCTCCGCCGTTGTGTCGTCCTTGAGGCGTTCGCGTGAGGTACACGTGTTGAACA